CAGTGATTTTTTGGCCGGGAAAATGTTCACAAAACATCGACGAATATATTGCGAAGAGCTACAAATGTGTGTATAGCTCGGTGTATGGGATAAAAACCAAACGTACTTGCAGGTTCGGTGAGTCCGGGATTGGACGCACCCCCCCGCAAGCACGTTTGTTATAGTGCCATTCATCTCTGAGATAGTCGATTAGATTCTCGCTGCAAAGTCATGACACTTATGTGAAAAGAGTCCAATCCGGAATTTGTGCGTCTGATACCCAAACTGCCCCTTCCAACGTAGCTGTGCTCCACAATCACACACCAGTTACAATGTGGCTGCCAGAGGCGTCCTCAGAAAGCCTTCGCCTAGCAGGATTAGGTTGCGCTGCATCCTCCATGATTCGGCTTAGCTCTCAGCTGTACGTAAGAATGATTAGCACCCCCCTCCCCCCACTTCCTTACCCCCACTATACATATGTCAAGCCCTATCATTTTTTTGCACTATTCAACATGCTATCCTACCTCAGGATGGAAAAGGGTCTCCGGTCCTAAAAACCTTTCATAACCAACATCCACTGAAAAGTTCTGAAAGAAAGAGAGCATGCAGAGAGTGAAATCTTTGCATGGTACGACTTTCAATGAAATCTACACCTGATCCCTGACGAATGCACTAGACCAGGGCTAGACTGATGTCAAATCGTTTAATTGTGAACGTAATTTGTTTACAGATTCCAATCGTTTACCTAACCCACAATAGCGAAACATACAGTATCAGTAAATGTTTAGATTGGGTAATTTGTATTCTACTCACCTGTTTATTGATAGGGTTCACTCCCTCAAATTTCTTCATCCACTTGTCTGGATCTGCATCGTATTTAGCAAATTCCATGGCCACATCAGGGCAAATATATCCCCAACGCTCCTGCGAAGAAGCACAGTATAGGTGAAACCTTTTTCAGCGATTATATTTGGTCCAGTAAATGTGGTAGTCTACAATAAGCTGTCGTTGTTTGTGTCTAAACTACCTAAAAGGTGTCTCAAACGTGGAAGGCCAGTCTACAGTGGCGTAGCCAGCCCGACAATTTAGTCCCGCTATGCAAATTCAAAATTATTATCATTATTCATTTCTTTAGAAATTTATTGTTTTCACAGTCGATGAACATGAAAATATTTGCATAGCGGGACCAAATAGTCGGGCTGGCTACGCTACTGCCAGTCTATGTACAGTTGTAATATACAATAAGCTGTCTTGATCCTTGTGTGCAGTACTTGAACAAGAGTAAATGGACAGGGCAATCATGGATGTACCAGTTGTGTCTTGTTGGTAATACTGAAATGTGGTATTCCCAACTGTAGCATACAACTGGAAATTGCTTTAGCACAAACTTACGCGAATAATAGGATAGGAAACCATTACCATTCTTCTGCCGTTGTGCACATGCATATATTACGTGTAAGATTACTTTATCAAGATTGTTTGTTTTATACAAAAGTAATGTCAGAACAGTTTAAAACTGATAGATCTATCCAGTAATCAGTATAAATGAATTTGGTTTAGTTCAGTTTTCTTTCTGTAGTATATAATACCAGATAATTACGGACTGACGAGTCTGATGACTACTATTGAAACTTTAGGAATAATAGTTATCATGCATAAATTATACAATGGGCTAATGGCACATTCAGTTTACTCTGCCAGTAAAGCAAGACAACCTTTTTCTAATTTCTCTTCCTCGACTGTTCAATTTTTATCTGAACAATGAACGTGTCAACTTGCACTAGCTAACTGTGAATCGATCTTTTAAATAAATACAACTAGTTTACCTTGATAGTTTTGGCAGTTTCCAGAGATTGTTCTGGTGGGATTCCAATTTCTCTTTCTCTCAAGATCTGTCGCACGAAGTATGTGATATCTCGTCCAGCGATTGGAATGCACATGATACAGCTACGAATTACGCACCCTTCATCCTACATGTACAACATCGGGTCAAAGTTTGCTTGCAATAATACTGATTAACTGTTGATATAGTAGAGGCATCAATAGGTTTCACTAAGCACTATGGTGCACCAGATGGCGAAAGGTGTGCAATAGGGTGAGGCGGTTAATCGATCAATCGAAAAAAACCCGATGTTTTTTGAAAACCATTCAACCGATGTTGTTCTAGGCCAATTTAAAAGTCCGTAATATTGAAACAAAATGGCACCTTGTCAAAATCGCGGCGCTAGCTCAACGTTTTCTGATGAAACTTCCAACTTTTAAAATGCGAGAAAATACCTAACGGTGGCTTACCACTTACATATAAAGGCAGTATACTATACCATTAATGCATGTACGATTGTTTTTAAAAATAAAAGTCTTGAACATGTAACGTGAAATTTAATCTAACGTTAACTGTGCTATATTTTGACACGTTATAAAAATCAGGGTTTTTTCAGATATATGGTTTTCGGGTTTTACCTTGAACTGCCTCACCGCAATGCCAACCATGTGCAACTAGCAATTAGCAGAGTGAGAAAAAGGTTGAGAAAATAATGTGAATCTTTTCATTATGTATATATAATAGTCTTGTGTTTCGGGTATCAAATAAATATAATTACCGAGATGTATTGTTTTATTTTGTTGTTTTTGTAAGTATGACCATTTCTGAAGTTGAACACCATCTTATAGTGCTTTGTTGAAAGTGTACATTAAATCTTGAACATACCACAGGGATAACATGTGTAACACCATCTCCAGAGTTAATCACAGTTCCTGTTAGAGTTCTTTCACCAACTTGACGAGACGTCCAGGATGTGGCAAGCGCAAGCACAGCCTGTATTTACAAGATAAATACAATTATACATAAATGAAATGCTCAAATGCATGCAACTCACAAATTAATTGTTCATGGAAAATTTACTGTATATATATATATATATATATATATATATATATATATATATATATATATATATATATATATATATATATATATATATATATATATATATATGTCGGCCATTTTGAATTTTCTTGGGTTAATTATACGCGAACGCATACATCAAATGTCGCTCGCAACGTACTGTATATTGCAATATTCCAACAGCTCAAATAAGTAAAGGATCATTGCTTGAAGTTCGTACACATATTTGTAGTAGCTATCTAATGAACATTTGAGGGTTGTTAGCTAATTAACTCTTGTCACAATTTGGAACCTGATCTTTTTGGCATGTCGTAATTTATTCTTTTGCATCCTTAGAGATTTAGATGCTTATTAGCATGCCTCGATGAATTTCTTTGTTTATTCTTTCGTATTCACTTGTGCTTATTTTATAGCTGTAACCTACGTCCAGAATTATTATATTTTGCCAACGGAAATTTTAACGGAATCGATAGTCATTCGATATTTCATCTCCTGAAACTCAGCACGCGCAGCATTCGTGACCTGGCGAAGCAGAAACGTTCATTTCCTACTAGCCATTATGTTCATTTCCAAATGTTCATTTCCTACTAGCCATTATGATTATGCGCAAAGACATCAATCAATGATTCTTTTGTTCATTTGAGCTGTTGGAATAATGTTGCAGTATACAATACGTTGCGAGCGACATTTGATGTATGCGTTCGCGTATAATTAACCAAAGAAAATTCAAAATGGCCGACATATATATATATTCGAAGGTCAAACTTTTCTGGATCCAGTGTATATATATATATATATATATATATGTATGCTACAGCTGTTTGATTTGTATAATGTCATTATTGAGACATTACAACCGTAGATACTGCTGCATTTTGATATAGCACAACAATAACGGAAATAAATTGGTGAATATGAGATAGCAATTTCTTTACCTGCATGCCTGCTGTGCTGCAGCTACTTCATGTAGAGAATCGTAAATATCATAAATATAAACTTAAATGTTAAAAGAGTTGTTGCCGCACAAGTCTCACCTGTGTTGCTATGTATAAACCAGGGACATTGAATAATTCAAACATAATTTCTACAAAAATTGCACAAAAAAGAAAAATTGACTTCAAGGGAACAGTTGGAACTAACAAAACTATCCAGTATAAATACAGTTAGTTTAGTTTGCATGGGTTTCCCGCTGCAGTAACACTATAGTATAGATAAAAAAGGAATGACATCTAGGTATATCGAGCAATTTAGAATTGATGGAGATATCCAGTATATAAGTAAAGTTAGGTTAGTTTTCCTTCCATAGTAAGACTGGGTGAAGAACAGATGACTCTTATTATACTTCTATAGACAGAGCAGTTTAGAACTGATTAAGATATCATGCAGTATAAATAAAGTTAGTCTATTAAATTCTATTTTACATTTTTTGAATGTTTCAGACAAATTTACCCAGTATAAATAGTACTTATAGTTTAGTTTACCACCAGTGTATTCTCTATTCTCAGGTGTGTTCAATGGTGGGTCAGTCTACATAATAAAATGTATTCATTCATTAATCCATAGATATATATAAAAAGAAGTTAACTTTTTTCTAAAAAGAGGTTCACAAAATACAGTACGATTACCAGTAAGAAATAGTGATCTTCAGGTTCAGCTCGTAAATATTTAAAAATACATTGTTCCCAAAATCTCTCCTATAAAACATTATAAATTCACAATTTTAAATATAAACATTATTATATTGGCCTTCAAAACGTAGAAGTTCTGATCATCCCCGCCCTATGATTGTGAAATTGATCGGCCACCGAAGTAAATTGAAGTTAATATAAAGGCAAGGAAAAATTTGAAGGGTAAAGACGTCTTCATCAGAGAAGATCTTACTATAAAGTGAAACACGCCTTGATAATGTTCGTAAAAAACTGTATGTATTGAGAAAACTATTGTATATACTGTCCATGGTATTATAATGGCGAGGATTCCGGGAAGTAGAAAACTTTACCGTATTAAGACGAAGGACGACATGGTTATACTCATGGCTTAGTGAACAAAACGCTCACTTCCCTTCTGGTTGTTTGAGCACTCTGCAGGCCCCATTACACTCTGCGCATATCTGGATACGTCGATATCTTCGTGTTGTACCACATGCGCTTGGTGAGAGCACGCTCATGTGTATAAATATACGGAGGTATCATGTATCTACTGTGTACCAAGCTGCAGTGGCATAACTACTATGGGCTCAGATCGGGAGAACCTGGGGGCCCCAACCTGAATGGGGGCCCCCAGGCTTAGGCGATAGAGCAAAAACATTGGTCAGGGCCTCTGATATGTTACAATGTCGTTTTCTGACCATCAGAATTCTGTAAAATCTCTCCCCAAAGTCCAGGAAATGGCATTTCAGAGAGTCTAAATTCAAAAATTTTCCCGATAAGCATGCCCTGGACCCCCTAGAAAATTCGTGCATATACGGCGCTCGACTCGTGCCTTTGGCACTTCTACTA